ATATAGACCATTAATAGTTGCGAACTGGTGCTAATTTTCTCGACACTAGTGCTTTGATCTCTCACATCTTCACTTTCCACCAAAATATCTGTACCTTCATGAAGCCAGTTGGTGATCACGAAGCGCGTAATGCATTACTTTGCATGGACATTCCGGGCCCTACAAACGAGGCGGAGTGTTCAAAGCTCGAGACTGTATAGACTGGTCAGACAATGGCATGGTGGATTTGGTCCTCGCTGCTCCTCTAGATGGGATGCTCTGGACTTCGTGTCGTTCTTCACTGCGTAAGCTGGATTTGTGTCCAAGTATTCGCGACGATCCAGCAGCCTCTGCAAATCCCACTTGTTCGCTGGAAAGATGTTTCAGCTTTACGTGACAACAGGCTCGACGTGCTCTGCCCTGGACCTCAGACACATACAAGCCCCTCTGCTCAATTCTGAGCTTCATGAATCTTTCAAGACTTTCTCCCATATAGGGCAATAATTGAGAACTACATCCATTAACATTTGCGCCCGCTTGCATGTGCTCGAATCAAGTTCTTGCAAGCGTCAAGATATTTATGGCTTCACTATCCCTTCGATAGGGCTCTTGCTTTCCTTTAGCTTTCGCTGCATCACTTGGACTCTCGTTGAACAGATTTAAAATACAACTCTGATTTATGTGGAATGCAGAACTTCTTAAGATCCCCCCTCATATGCACAGAGAGAAAGAGAGTCAGAGCCTCTCTATGATCTCCCATGCAAATTAAAGAAGGCAAATGAAAGCCACTTGCCGGTATTTCAAAGCCTCCACGTCGAAGATAATCTGAGTTGGTGAACGATCCAAGTGTTCATTCGGCCTCCACTTCTGGAGACTGCGCTTCGAGCTTCGAGAGTAGACTTCAAATGTATGTTCTCAACAAAGGTCGTCTCTTCGAGACTTACGCTACTTCTGTGATGGCCATGCCATTACCAAATGATAGAGAGAATTCTACGCAACGAAAGACGCTGCAATGCAAACCACTTCCAGACAGGATAAAAGGACAACCTGACGCTTCAAGTCTACCGATTGTCTTATGCAGATGTGGGGATTGTTTTATCCGCAAATTCCGTGCACACAAATCCAGGCACGTGAAACTCGAAAGTAACCTTAAATGCAGGACTAAATAGTGTACACATTGTGGGCACAAGTCAAGCGGAACGAGTCAAAAAGAGAAAAAAGGATTAGAGATGCCTTCAATTTTGTGGGTGAACTTGGAGGTTGTTTGGGAAAACATAAATGTTGGTGTGCTTGAGGTCCAACTTCCACGGTCTAATCTTTATACAATGGAGGTGGGAAGCGAGGCTTGATTGTAATATGATTCTTGTAATAAGGACTCCGAGTGAGGGTAGAGTCATTTATCTCATAGATTAAACTTTGAGCGCATGATATGTTAAATAACATTCAATAGAAAGTAGTCAGCGCGGCCAAGTCAAGCGAAGTTTGGATTTGCAATGTTCGCAGTCCCTGTACAGGTACGTTGCTTTCGAGTATGAAGACCTCAGGCGTTTATTGATTCATGTCCACACCAAGTTCCAGTACAAGCATTCCCAAACCTCGACCTCGAAAAACCTTGGGCCATCTTCTCACCTTGTCGATTTTTTTTCATTGATTTGTTAGCTGGATTCTATTGGATTCAAGTTCTGCCAGAAACTGAACACTTTTTAGAAGAATTTCACATCCACACATGCTTGCTTGGAAGAGTACTCTTTTTCGAGATATATATTTATTCATTTATTTCGAGATACATATTCACGTACTTTGGACCCCTAGTATGTTGTAGGCCCTTTTTACAATCAGCCATTTTGAGAGGCAAGTAAATTGCCGGCATGGTGACATGAGTTTTTGACCTACATTTGTCTCATGATATACCTTATCCTTAGCTATTTTCTACCAATCAACTTTGTTCCACTTGTATGTGAAGCATGTATGTTTTTTTGGAAAAAGCAAATGCTCGAAGCTCTAATCACCTCCATGTACTCCAGAATACCTTATTTTTGGTATTTCCTGGTTCATATAATATAGATCTGTTTCCAAGTAGCAGTACGGATCATGCGGCACCACGAAGGGATACAAGAGTACCAGGGGACAATGAACTAATAATGACTATCCACGACGCATCCGAGTGCGGCGCAGTTGACATTCGTCTACGCGCACAACTGTCACAACCATCACATCTCCATCCCCAAAGAGGATCAAATAAATGTTAGAATATGGTGGAACCAACACGTAGTTGATACATGGGAATGAACCGAATCTTTCATTGACTAATTCGATGAATCATTTAATAAATTTCGCCTTACATTCAAATTGATTGAACTTTCTTTCGTGGATTAAGAATGGAGGGTTTCGCTGTAAACTTTTCAATCGATCATATCAAACTTTAGTGAAAAGTGAAAACTTAGTGAAAATTTTTTGTTTACTTCAAATTTGATCAGGTGACCTGAAATTCATAATTTTGCTTAACTGAACCGAAATTCGGAAAAAAATTATTCATTTTTCAACATCTGGAAATAACTAGATATTTATCCAAGCTTCTATCTGAAGAAACTATGTGTTTCTATGTTGCATTTATGAACTCTTCTCTTCATCGGAGATCTTTCATTGAAAACAACTGTTAGACTTCGCAATTAGAGAAGTTCGATTGTTTTTAGAGATGTGTTAAGAAGACGATTTCGATAAAACGAAGTTTAGATTCCTGCTACCTTGAACGGCGAAGTAAGATTCCTCGTAAGATAAGATCTCCGACTCCCCTATGATATTCAATATATTATGGTCGACCTTGGTAACTTTTCCCGGGCGTTCGATTCTCCCGTTCTAAACGGGAGAATCGAACTTCTGAGTTCTGGGTGTAGGCTCGCATAACTTCCACTGAAAACAGGCAAGCAGCCTGAGTTTCTGCTTCTTGTCAAGTCGGTAATATTCCACTAAATGCAAATAAATGGCAGAAGTTGGATGATTTATTTAACATCAAGTTTCTTCAAAAGCTCAATATTGTTTCAGTCAATTTGACAGTCACAATCTTCATCTGAAATGTGAACAATGACTGATGCTAAAGAGCCCGGCTTCTAACGTAATTCTCTACACTCTGACGTCCAGATGGAAACCTGCAATCGAATATATCGAAAGCTGGATGCGATGATCAGACGTGGGAAATGTAGCTCCCTCGAGACCGAATCGTATAGATTCTAATAGAATTCCAATAGCTCGATACGATTCTAGCTCGGATTTCGTATGTAATCGCTTCAGAACGCAACCAGTTAAACATACAAAATATGTTTAACACCTGTTCGGTATGGTCAAGCTCAGATTGAAGTTTACTCCTTTGTTGTAATCATTCCTACATTCGATCGTATTATGAACAACTATTGATCTCTATGAAATATACACTACAAGCTACTGAGTCATTTACTGAACCTTCTTCTAATTTGAATTTCATATCGATGCCTGAATGCTTCATGGAATATAAGGAGTATGAACACTTTCGAAAGCGTTTGAACAAAACATGCATGACAAAAATGGGCAAATGGCCCTTCTATTCGCAGACATCTACTGTGACGTAGATGTCCATGAGCTTCATATGAGCTAACTTCTGAAGACGCTCTTCGACACGAGCTGAAAGGATTAGTGAATGCACAATTCGGTTTGGCCTCCATGATAAGGAGGCCTGTTTTCAGGTCCTCATCTCTCTGTCTCTAACTTGAATGCCATCCGAGCTTGCATCGAGGAAAAGATTTGCGGATTTCAGGATGTGATGCATACTGGCGGTCGAATTGTGGTATGTCATGAACGTGTCGCCGTGCAAGATGCAAAGCGTGGAAAGCATAAGATTCGGGTCGGTACCAACCTTGAGAGATGCTCGGATGGGAAGCGCAGAATTGAGAGATAAATAGAACGACAGCACCAGAGAACGGAAGACATGAAAAGTGAAACTCGACGCTCACCGATCGGACAACCTCTGGAGACTGAATGCATGTGGCATCGACAAAGAGGTTGCCTACGAGAAATCTCCGACCAAGGAACATTGACAGCATATATCATTGGCACAAACGGAATCTGATGTTCTTTGAGGTATCTGTGGTATCCGAAAGGACTTTGTCAGGTGCACGATGGAGCACAGAATAAACGGATTCCCTTGGGATCTATGCGGTGAGAGTTCAATTCACGTGCCACCAACTTTCTCCTTGGAGCTACCAACTCGGGCACGACAGTTTTGTCGACATCTCTGCAGATCCTCTTCTCTCCTCTCTCTCTCCATGCTTCATCCAGGCCGCGCAGACGGGCCCTGCTGTTGCTCACACAGCCTCGAAAATTGCTGCTCTACGAGGGCCTACATCCACAACTGTTGCTAGCCAGCGTATGTCTAGTTCTTTATAATTATTGTCCACAGTGGACAATATTTGCCTGCTTGTGCCCTGTAAATGTTGGGGGTCTACTGGGACAGGACTTGTGTCAGGACTTCGTGGAAGATACATCCAAACTCCTGTTACTTTCGAGAATTAGCTTTTACAAGCTGATGGACTTGCCATCATTCAATAATTATTGACTCCACCATGGGGTCTGTCTAAGACGTCGGACCCCATAGCTCTATATAATTTGAGGTGAGATGCAACTCATCGGCAAGACTTCTAGCAAGTTTTTCCAACCCTCTCCAAGCAGCTGCTTCTAAGCCTCAAGCTGTTCGAGGGTGAAGAATCCGGCTTAGAGCCTAGCTCTTACGTGAAAACATTGTTTTGAATCTCTGACGATCTTTGATATACAATTGAGCAGTACTGAGCAGCCATTTTGAGATCCGTAGACACATCGTTTGACCCGAAGGTGGACCTGTCGTGGGACTTATGACAGCAAGGAACGTCGGACTCCATCGATCTGAGACTGCTGTTGTCTGAATTGTCTTGAAATTGCTAAGCTCCTGCAGGTGTTGCCGAGGAGCTTTCATCTCGTCGATCATCTCGTTCTCTCTGATGGCACGGGGGCTCACAATGAGGTCTCCAAGATTGGTGATAGTGGTGCTCAGCATACTGCAGCTGTTCCAGTGTACAAAGGAGGTGGGAGCGGCTGGACCTGCTAATCTGATTCTGTATGCTCACGAGAGCAGAGTCCCGCCCACACAAACCTTGATCGGGTCAGCTGCACCCAACGGGAACTTGACAGATGAGCAGTTCGGGCTCATCAAAACTGTGAGCAATGTGTTGCGCGCAGGTAAAAATAACGACTCCATGGTCGTAGGATCTCAGGTGGGAATTGTTGTTTTGGGCAAGGACGTGCTCAACATTTACATTAGCTACACTTATTTTCTGAACAACGACTCTGGTTTCGGTGGTAGTACCATTGCTGTTCATGGCCATATCGATGCAACATCGATGGGAAACCGAGTCTTCGCCGTTGTGGGTGGAACTGGTCAGTTTCTCTCAGTCACTGGACAAGATACGTCTCCCTTTGACGCATATGTTATAGATGACTCACACACCGTCAACACCCACACCCTCGAGCTTCGATATCCATCCTACTAGACCATTCATCGGTTCCCTATTTATATCTAGAAACGTGTGGAACGTTGCTGATTGTGCTCAAAATCAGATTTCAGATTTAGAGCTTAGGCAAAATCTTGACCTTACCGCAACTGCTTCTGGATATGCAACTATGGGTATGCAATCGATTGTAAAAAGTGTTCATTGATTCTATAAAACGCATCAAAAACATTGACAACCAAATCACGGCAATTTTACAGAGTTTAAATGAAAGTTTTCTCCTTTCTGTAAGACTGCGCTGGATTAGACGACATGTTATGTATGGCCTCAGTCAACTTCTTGAAGGTTGTACATGTGGGCTCTTACAATTTGAGATCCCATGTACAAGGATTACAAAACCTGTGGACACTTAATCTGGTGTCCACAAAAGACCCTGAGGTCACAAGCTCACAGGGGAAAACTCAGTCCAAGTGGACGTCAGTAACCCCTGCATTTGAGTGAGCAAGGAAATTTCTTTTTTGCATGCTCTTTTTCTCAATGCTTATACTGCTTATGCTCTTGGACCCCTTTTGAAGCGGACACCTATCTCTGTGCTTGCTTCTTGGTATTTTGTGTATGCATAAAAGTGCATGCATCACATGGGTCGGAAACTCAATTCACCAATCGATATACAAGTTCACGTCTACTTGGATACAATTGATGGAAATTTTGCTGGAACTATGATGATTGATTGTGCGACATGCATGGTTGCCTGTGCCGAAGACAGGCTTAAAAATAAGAACTCATGCGGTTTGATGGTCTTTTTATATGTTCAGCCCACATCCATATGCTCTGGAGCTGTACTAAGGAAGGAGAAGAATGTATGAAACCACGAAACTCTGTTTCTCACGTGTATGAATTATATGGGCACTGCACATGCAAGACCAGGGTACGAGTCCTGCCAATCATATGCGCCAGACAGTTGCCAAGACGTCCTCAAGTAGCATGAATTTAGCGTACAAGGCATAGAGACTTTCTGATCCTCATGGCTGTGCACGTGGAAACCCTGTTTGAGGGCAGAAATTGTTGGCGAGGCCGAACTTCAAAAGTCTCTGTGCATGATGTCGGAGAAAACTGGAGTCACAGAGGTGATGTTTGCAGATTCATTGACCATAGAGGCAGAAATCATAAAATATTGGTGGGGTCCAGAAAAGTGTGAGCAGACAGATCCATATTCAGTTGGGTAGGATCTAAGATGGGGAATGGCGAGTACTTGAGTGGGACCAGATAACGAGCTTTTGTAACATCAGCCAAAGAATGTCTGTCAGTGTCCTACAAGACATACACATGATCATGATGCACGACAATGTATCTAAACCTTCCGGGGCTTCTGGGCAGCATTCGATCACGTACTCACCGACCATGCATGCATCTCAAAGTCCATACTAATGACTAAAAATCGAACTGGATAGAGTTCTCCATGCATATTGTGTATCCTATACGCATCTTCAGCGCATGGGACAATTCTGAAGTCCAGGGACAACTTTTATCTTGGGTGAAGAAGGCATGATCGCACTCAATTAGTTGTATGAGAAAGTCTCCCGTAACAGCGTGCCAGTTGACGTCACTGGAGAGAGATCTTGCCTCAAGCGGTACTTGTAAGTTGGTTGACTCGGACTAAGAGTGTAGGCAGGGGAACTATGAAATTTCTTTTCTTGAGTGGTCAAGCTTACCCATGGAGTTTAGAGAACTCTGACTTCATCTCTATCTAGAATTGCAACAAAGTTTAGTTCCCCTGCCTACACTCTTCGTCCAAGTCAACCAACTTACGAGTGCCGCTTGAGGCAAGATCCCTCTCCAGTGACGTCAACTGGCACGCTGTTGTGGGAGATTGTCTCGTACAATTAATTGAGTGCGATCATGCCGTTAGTCAACCTATGTCAAATGTCTGCAACTAGCAATTGGAAGTTAAGGGAAATTTAGCGAAATTATAGAAGTTTCACACAAACTTTGCTCACATAGTTGCAGACATTCGATGCTCTGCCGTGCTAGAGGCAGTAGGTAGACGTATGGAGGTTTTTTCCTTCCGTTTAGTGACGGATGCGACGTTCTTTGTCTCGTCACGTTTGGCTATCTATTCGGTGTGACAAATATTTTACACGAATCTTCATGAGAAATATCGATATTTTAGATTTATACGTCTGCTTCTTGATCAAGTCAGAATTTGGTAGTGGGAACGGAACTTGATCAAATTGTGCTCACTTTTTGTGGACCTAAAATTTAGTAAGATATATTGAAAAAGTTTCAGAGACATTATAACATCCAGTCAGCTCAGTGTATACCACCACATCCAGATACACTTCCCACAAACATGATTAAGACACCTCACCGTTCAGGACCAGAGAAAAGCAACGTGAGGTGATGAAAGAATTTTTTCGGCTCTGGTCAAACAGGAGAGAATCTCCGAAGAGCCAGAAGCGAATAAGTGTTACAAAGCTTTAGAACTGATGAATCTCATGAATCACAAATCCTTAAAAAATTGGTGCGCCCGGTTGGTTGCAGATCCATACCGGACAGGTCATCTATACATTTGTGGAGGCTCTGATTCTCCTCCCTATCTCTGTAAGCTCTTCAACAACCTACTTAAATTCTTCTTCAAGTGTACAAATTGAATCATTCTACCTCTGATAACTCACAAAAAGTTAGCCGCGACTACGACGGGGCTTGACACCTTGTGTACGCCATCAGACCAAGTGAATGATCCGTGAACAAACTGTTGCTCGTTTTCGGGGACGGCGATAACTCTCTCGAAACGAATCGTGAACTTCTTCGCCTGGTTCGTGTGGTGGAAGCTCAGTGATGGAGGAGTGATGGTCATCTTCACACCTGGTGGGTTGACGATGGAAACTTTGTAATTACTCATTCTCTTGCCCACATTGGTGACAGTTCTCTTCACAGTTTGGGGAGCACCCTCCTCTAGATTGGGTATCATCACAGAAGCCTGGTTGAGGTCACTGGGATTCGTTCCTGCAAGAGCGCAGTCGTAGAAGAGCCCTGTAATCCACTGCCTCTCTGTTTTGTTATAGCCATTGGAGCAGAGGAACACTTTGTAATCGTCGAACTTCGACTCGTAGATCAACCCGGGATCGGCAGCAGCTTCCGGGTTTATGTTACCGGCGCCATAATTGAGAGGACCAGCGGGAAGATTTGTGGAATTTTTTATTTCTCCACCGGTGTTGTCCGTGACCCTCGCTGCTCGTCCATCAAGACACTAAATGTTAGAACAGATCCATCAGGCCTTTCAGGAAATCTCCGTACTATTGTACACTCACGCTTCACCGACTCACTCATGTCAGGTGGAGAGATTATCACCTATGCAATCCTTCACACTTAAATCCTGGAGGGGCAGAAAACAGAAGCAGAACATATGATGCTGGATTTAGGATGAAGTGGACGGATACCTGTCGTCATCATGGCGGATTTTATGGCTGCAGGGCTCCATGTAGGGTGCAGAGCTTTCAGCAGAGCAGCGACACCAGCAACGTGGGGACAAGACATCGATGTTCCTGATAACGTGTTCCATTCCGATGTCCTCTTGTCCAAGCTGGAGGGCAGGTTCGAGGGTGGAGTAGACCCGGGCCATGCGGCAATAATGTTCAGTCCAGGAGCTGCAAGGTCGGGCTACAGAGCAGAATCAAAGAAAAATGCTCAGTGGATTAGTATTCGAGAAGCAGCAACCGCCATATAACTTGCAGTGGATGCATAAAATGTCAAAGCAGCAACTAGAACAGCAAGGTGTTAGAGTATAGTGCGAGGAACTACAATCATGTAATTCCTTTGGATTACAACAAAAACTTCCTCTTCATCACATGTACATGGTCCGCAACTGGCATTTTGGCAACTACATCTCTACAGAAATACAATCGTCACTAGAGAGGTCATTTGGTTATGAGGCGGCGGCGGTTGTAAACCGGAATTCATTGACTTGTTCAGTACCTTAAGAATATATGGCGCGACTAGATTGGGTCCCAAGGAAGAAAATGAATTCATATAAGGTGCAGGCTTCACGCCATCGATCGTAGTTGCACGCGAAATTTTCACGGTGGGCATGCTGCAGGCACAATCCCGGCGTTTGAAGGGTCAGTGGCAAAGCCGAAAGGATCAGAGACCAAAAGTTTACTTTCAGATGGCAGCGGAGTTACGGCTGGACACTAGAAAACGACTTCTTTCCCAGCTAACTCACAGATCTCCAAAGGATGGTGGATGGATAGAAGCTTACGCTGCACTCTTGGGTCGGGGCTGCAGAGGAGCAACATAGTCCAGGAGTGGGTTGGAGTCCACATCCGCCACAGTTATAGTTGGCAGCACTTGGTTCTCAGCGTATAAATCCATACCGCCGGAATCAAAGTTCGGAATGAGGACAGCAAGTCCTCCTGCTGCCTTGACAACAGCAGCCTTCCGGTTACGTCCAATGAACCCTTGCAGGCATACCACAACCTTACCTTGCGTCTTTGCGCTGTCCAAAGCTCCATCGAGGCAGAAACTGAGCATCCATCGACAAGCAATCAGCCATCAAAGCAACATCAATCTACCGCATACAGGAGAAGTCTGCTACAAAAGACACACTTACTGACAATCATCCCAGTTGTAGTAGAAAGCCTCAGAAGAGATACAGCAGAACAGAAAAGAGCAGTGAAGCAGTGTCATGATGCAGGTACGGTGCTAAAACGCTGCACTAAGAAATCATAGAGTCTAATTTGCTGCATTCACATAATATGCTCTCTTCTTTTCGAAAGGCCAAATTCAACCTCATGGTTATATTTCACACATTCTGCTACTTGCTTCAGATCCGATATACTCAAATGAAATTTTACAATGGTGGAAGATTCGAGTATGAAAAGGGAAAATATGTAGCAGCCAAGCACTCAGATCTCTGTCGAAAAATTGGAAGATTCCTACAACCGAATTGGCCTCCCCAGCAGTACCTTGCTCCTGTGATATTGGCTCCGGCGGCGATGATGTCGGACCCAAAGACGATCGGAAGGTTCTTGTCCAACGAGTCATTGTCGACAGTAATGCTACCGCCCTGCACAGGGAGGGAGCCGAATTCGACGCATCAGATCGACACTCATCGGAGGAATCGCTCACTCGAGGCCAGGGGCGAGGGGCAATGACGGAAGCTCACCAGGAACGAGACGCCATTGCCGAGAGTGACAGTGGTGCCGAAGATGCGGTCGATGCTGGTGGAGGCGACGTTGATGGACCAAGGGTCGCTGTTGACGACGGTGCCCAGCTGCGGGCCGCTGTTGCCGGCCGACACGGCCACCACTTTGCCGGCCATGGTGGCGTGGAAGGCGCCGATGCTGATTCCGGTGAGGAAGAAGGGCTGCGGCGTGTCGGGACCGAGCGACACCGAGAACACGTCCACGCCATCGGCGATGCCGGCGTCGAAAGCCGCCAGCATGTCGGCGTCCGTGCAGGCCACGCCGCGGCCGCCGTCGGGCGCCCAGCAGCACTTGTAGACGGCGATGCGGGCGTTCGGCGCTCCTCCCTTGGCCGTGCCGTTACCCAGCCCGTTCACATTGGCCATCGGCACAATGCGTCCGGCCGCCGTCGACGCCGTGTGCGTGCCGTGGCCGTCGCGGTCGCGCGGCGACCGGAAATCCTCCGCCGCGACGCTGTCGATGGGCCCGACGGCCACCTCGAATCCCAGCGGGTAGTACCTCGCTCCGATGATTTTCCTGCGCGTCGCGCGGCCGCGTCCGGTGAGCAAACCCCGACATTCCTTCCATCCAGCAGACAATTCGACAATCCGACGGGCGCACGGGTCAGAGAGAGATCCTACTCACTTGTTGCAATTGGTCTCGTCGAATCCTTCTCCCTTCTCGCAAGCTCCCTTCCATCTCGCCGGCACTGGACCCATTCCGTCGTCGTGGAAACTCTCGTGCTCGGGCCAAATTCCTGCAACAATCCACATTCCAAGAATGAGCTCTCAATCCTCTCAATTCTCTGGATCTGATCCGATCCGATCCGAGCATACCAAGGAATTGCGGTGTGCATCGAGCCACTCGCCTGTGTCGAGGACCCCGACGATGACATCTTCGCCATAGTTGGTTTTGGCCCACAATGAATCCGGAGACTGGGGACCTGACGCCTTCTCGAGCCCCAGGAATTCCCATGTCCGCGTCGTGTGAATGGACGCCGTTTTGCTCTCGAACAGGGATATGACTCCGTCCATTTCTGCACACCAGATCGAGATGTGATGTTAGCATGAGCGCCATGAGCACGATCCATCTGCATGCCAAGAAGCTGCTGCTGTCCCATCCCTCGGTCCACGACATGTAAATGGAGATTTCGAGCATTCGTGCGACGCGAGGAGATGGGGCGGTGAATCGCAGCACTTGGAAATTGAGCAATGTCGGACGATCATACACCTGGACTGGCCGCGCCTCATCATTCCCCATGTCGATTCGTAACAACACAGTGAGGACGAGAGCAGGGAGCGATCATGGCCCGAGAGAGGCATCCTGAAAGGCAATCATACGAATCTTCCGAGCCATCATCACATCCAGCGAGTCTTGTTGTCGGAGAGTGCGCTCTGTCAGAAACCATCAAAGCAGGTGCGCACATGAACCACGAGATCTAGCATGGCACTATTCGGGCATTTAGTGCTGCAGGTGCGCCATTCCGAGTGCATCTTCACGGAACTCGGTGGCTGGAGTGGAGTGGAGTGGAGTGGAGTGGAGTGGAGTGGAGAGGAGAAGAATGTAGTGGAGTAACACGACGTACTTGACATGGCTTCGACTTGTTCAGGTGAGAGCTTCGCAGCAAATCCGCTGAACAGGTGCTTGTAGTGGTACAGAATGGAATCCTCGGATGCCTCGACACTGCAACCACCGATGTAACGACAGATATATCATTGACCGAGCAAACTCAAACGTAAATACCGCAATTATGGAGATAACAAACGATCCCAACCAGTTAAGGTGCAGTCGACAGGAGCGACATTGATGGACAACAGCTCGTACCTGCCGACTACTTCTGTGACCATTCGCCGATGAATGCTGGTTTTCTCATGATGGGGAAGGTGGGCGTGATGACTTCCCATGTATACAATATGGACCTGCAGAATTCACAAGTTCCAAAAACGGCGTCAAGTAGATGAAAACTCGACAACGCGGGTCATCAGGGACAGCAGGAAGGCAGTGACGGCATTTGAAGCATTCGTGACCTCGATAACACATCATCACTAACGAACGAAAATGTAGGAACGAGGAGGTGAATCAGGATTCCTAGAAACACGAAGAAAGACGCATAAGCCATCATCGTTCACATTTACAGCCGCGATCCCGAAAAGAGGTCGATCTTTCAGGGAAGGTAGCTCCTGATGGTGACATTGAGTGGACTGAAGGAAATGTGTTCCATGGTCATAAAGATCAGTGAATTCCCCGAAACAGTGGAGGATGTTTCTTGATCAAGTGAGACTTCAGAGGGAACGAGCAATGGTAAGTACTTGACGCTGAGGTTGGGATTCCAACAGCGGTGATAATTCCCACAGTTTGACCAAAGGGAACCCAGGTCAACCACAAGGATCTCGTACATGAGTTTTGCTTCACCCGACATGAATGACGAAACTTGAGACGATGCTCCTGCCTCTTTCGGTGGTTGTTTCCCACGTTCACGTATGGATCCCAATCACATGCTTATCAGTGCCGTGAGTCCAGTCCAGAGGACAATGAGGCTAGAGGAGAAATGGCCGGCCGCAAGAAACAAAGAGGAATTCTAATATTTAGAGCGGTAGAGCTGTACTGAACAAATTTCATAGCACGACAATGCGGTTTACGATATTGTTCCGAGTCGCTAGGACGGTTCGAGCAATACCGAGAATCAGACATTCCAATGTAAATGCAGACATGCCATCCCAGTCGTGCCATACTCGGAGCCTCCAGCTGGCTCGCCGAAAGAGTACGACATTGACATATCGAACACTTGCGAGCAGGCAGCGCCTGCAGCCTCGGGAAGGGCGAGCATCGCCATTCATAATTCCTGCCAGGTCTCTAAACTATTTCCGATTCCAGGGAAGAGTAGTGAAAAAAAGGTGGGGAAGGACAAGACTCAGCTGAGGAAGAAAAGTGGTACCTGATCCGACACTACGAATGAAGAGAAGAGCGTCAGGAAGCATAGCTGTAGCCATAGAATCCGAGTCAAACACCTTAACCCCGTCTTGCCATTCATCGCGTACACAATGAGCCAATCCCTTAGATCTCCCACCGACTGCGACTCCTGGAAAGAAACTCCAATCTCTCTCAATATCCACTACCAAATCTCCCGATGAACCTGCGAGGTCCTGTCCAAAGCCTCTCTCGGCCTTACAACTTTCCACCTGATGCTGCCAATCGACCTCGACTCCAGCAAAGTCGCAGGACCGCCTTCGCAGCTTGCGTCTTCTATCTGCCACTTCCCGAGCTGATCACACAAATCCCTTCGTTCACTTGAGCTCGATAGCAGCTCAAGACTGAACAGACTGACTGACTGCCTCCCGATCGGAGGGAGGGAGGTACTACGCGTGCCGGTGGAAAGCCCCCCGTGATTTGCCTACACGAACGCGGATGGAAGCGTGTGGGAGGGAGCTTGAGCTGACTTCGGTTCAGCTCGGTTTGGCCCTGCTCGAATTAGACCGCGAAGGGTGAGAGGAAGAGTATGCAGCAGCAGCTGGGTGAGCCAAGTGCAGAGACTTGATTGTCACGTTACGGTATTGGAGAATTGGAGGGCAGCAGAGGACACGTCTGCGTCCGGCTTCCACTCGGAGCTAGCCCAACCCAACCCAACCCAGTGAGAGCCAGCAGCGGCAGCAGCAGCAGCTGGACTTCCTGAGCTGAGCTCGGAAATTGTCAAAGGTCATCAAGCGCAGCAGCAAGCAGATCCGAACTCGCGACCTCTTGCGGATCTTCTGTTTCCAGGAAGAGTCCACATGGGCCGGCACGAGAACCCGTTTCGCCTGGACATGTATGAGCTCCATCGTCACAGGAAGCACTGGGAATTGTCTCTTTGTCATAAACATAGAATGATCACACTCGCCAATCCATTGGATCGAGCTTTATGATCGATACTATTCTCGTCCGGTCATAATACTTTGTGGGTTGTCTCGTTTTGGCTCCATGCGAGTGGACTCCTCTCCCCTTACCTTCCCTTTTACTAACCTCGCTATTCCAGGGCCCTTAAATATAGCGCTGCTTGTCTTTTATCCCCCCCCCCCCCCCCCCCCCCCCCCCCTCAGCCCACACGACCATCTCATCCCCTCTTCTCACATTTTCCCTCCAGTTTAGCGCCGGAGTTAGTCAGGAGTTCATTTCTCGGCCCTTCTCCCCCCTTTCGGAAGGTCTCGGATCCGGCATTGACTTTTTACTGACCTGCTTCCTTTGAACGTCACCAACGGTTGGTGACGTCCGGGTTTCTCAACTTCTCCTTCCTTTCCAGGGATCACAGACTGATCGTCCACCGAGTTCCCTCCTCATGGCAATGTGGAGCACCGAGTGATACAGATAAAAGAATGGGAACGACCCGTCGAGTCGTACACCCATTAAACCAGATGGGCGATATGGGCCTAGATTCCAGTTGCATCACACCGAGAAATACTTTTCTAAGGTATCCTGTCTGAATAAAAAAAAATTCTTTCTCGCTCGAGTGCATCTTGAGACTGATCTCACATGGATTCTCACGTTGCTCCCGCTAACTCCACGATTCCATGCACTGAGTTAAAGAAATTGACACACGCGTAGTCTAGAAGGCCAGGCTTTAGTGCACTCTCTTCTGGACAAAGGGCAGCCTTCCAAATAAACAGCTCCCATCATTCACGAAGTCAAAGGCTAAAGAGTTCACTCTCCACCCCTTTGTGCACGATATGGGTAATCAATCAATCACCTTGGGAGTCACATGCAGAATATGTTGTCCTCTACTGGAATCCTAACTTATCTGCGCTTCGAGGTCAAGGGTGGCAATAGAGATCAAAAGAAAATGTAGAAGCATTCGCTCTCGTGCCCGGGCCGGCAGGTCGTGAGTGATCGCATGGTATCGAAGCATAAATGACCACATATCATAGGAACGTGGGAAAAGCCCAAGAGTGAAGTCACAAATATCTTGATCGACTCCCCGATCGAATGAAGTAGATATTCTCGAGCTAGACTCTACTCCCTTCTTTGATGAGAATTGTAACCAGAACAACTTTCTCCGCATAGTTGTTTTATTCATACATGTTCATATTCAGAGAGATCTGCGAAGTGCAGGTCAAAGGTGCAAAAGACAGCATCATGGATGGATCTGCAGCAGTTTCAGACTATGTGTGCCGGAAGCTTCTGCCCAGGCTTCGGTCCAGATTGCACTTGCATGAATGTCCTCGGTACAGAGAACGAACCGCCATTCGTTTCGTCCATGGCTCGCCATGTCAAAAGTCTGAGCTTTCAGCTTTCAGCTTTCTGCTCTGCTCCAGCGGTCACGACTCGGTCACCGTCGCCGCTACCCTCGAAGACGAGGAATCCGAGGCGGCCACATAACCACCCTCGTCGCGCGTTCGAACCCGAGTGGCGCAGACAGACTCAGATCAGAGCCTCCCGCGCCTCCGGTTGCCCTCGCGGTTCGAACCCGATGGCTCACGATCGCGACCACGGTGAGAGTGACAGTGAGATGTGGAGGGTCTGCGTTGGTGGTGTGACAGCGTCACGCCTGGCAACCCGGTAATAGTAAATGACATCTCATCAATGCAGTCGGAGGGATGGGCCATTGACCCGGTTTGGACCCAACCGGAAATGGCAACTGTTTGGATTTGGGTGCGTACAGTTGTGATGTGTGTGTCTGGCATTAGATTAGCACGGGCAGTCGAAAGCGTGGTAAGAGCAATTCGAAGGTCCGATTACCATGTGCAGAGATAAACTCTGCTGACCGTCGGCGTGCTCTCCGCCGAGAGCTCTACGTCGTCGATCGGAGATATTCCTGACATGGTTCGCTCGACGGGCTCTTTGGAACTAACGCAACCTGCACTAAATCTAAATCTGAGCCAGGGCGAGGGCGAGTGCGAGGGTCGCCTCTGACCTGCTCTGACATTCACCATTTCACACGTTCTGTGGGTGGGCAGTGGATGCTGTACGGTGCTCGATTACCTTCCATATTCATTGTCCATGTTTTCTCCATGCTCCCAACATCGGCTCGCCCGAGCTACGAGTTTTCATCAATACTCGAGAAGCTTGTGGCGTGAGAACAAGAATTGCATCATCAAAACTGAATCGAGCATGTATCACCGTATTTATTGTATCCGACGTCTGTCGAGTGTGTGCAGTAGGAGCGACTTGCCATGAGAAGATACTGACCATGTGTTTACTGTATTGTACGAATGGAGGGACGGCTCATCATCATATTGCTTCCCATCTCTTCACATCCACCTTCGGCTCTAAATGTATGAGATATTTAGACGAACGTCCGAGAAGTAAAATAACGAAGGTGACAAAAGCCCTCCTTAGAATATCGAAGGCCGGGAAGACTCCATCGATGATTATCTATCTCAACTAGTCCTCACTACTGGTTTCTCCGAGATTCAAGTCCACTTCATCAAAAAGTACCTAGATTTGATTTATAAATTGAATTTAGAAACTTGGAATAATGAGCCTTCATATCTTTCTTTCGTATTCTTGGAAATTTCACTTGCCTTGTTTCAATAGTTTTCGACGTGATGTAGCGGTATAGCAAACCCATAAAAGAATTTCAGAACAATATCCTTACACACTAGTATAGATATTACATTGTAATTTACAATCAAACCAAGTATATGATATATTATGAGGTGTTATATATACTATAAACTTAGATAATGTAGAATATATATAGAAGATTTATTTATAATTGAAGAAATATCGCTCATGAAAACACTGTCAAGATTCAAGAACTCAAACCTAATTTATTTCAAAATGATAATTCTCAAAATTTATAGTATCTATCACTCTTCATTATGTGGTTACACACAAATTTTTTTCTCAAGAAAGTAAATAGATTCATAATCTGTCAGTTATATTATAAATGAAATACTGAAGATATGTATTTGATCTACTTTCACATTTTTATGTTCATGTAAATTCAAATATTTGTAAGAAGATCTGTAAATGTCTTGTTTGTACATCACAAAAGACATATATCACATCAATTTTTATACAACAATTGATACAAATCAACAATAAACTACACAGTCAGCACAAAATAGTATTATCTCAAATCATCTAAAAGCATTTCTTAAAAAAATGTACATTGTGATTTCAGATACACAATAAAAAGTTACGACTATTTTTGGATTTACACTGAGAAAGGAATTTTATTTTCAAGCTTTTTGAAGTAAGCAGGATAAAAAAAAACGGAAAGAATTCAAAAGATTATGAGTTTCTTTGAGAAGTACATTACTATTTTTTTTGGGAGATATAGAATCAAACAAGAAGATCAAATGACTTCAACAATTTATCTGAATTTTTCTTTATCATATAAGAAACTCTAAAACTTTAATGTACATTTCAGTTGATTAAAATCTAAAGAAAAAAACTAAAATGTAACGAAATTGATCTACACATTACCCATTATGAAAACAATTGATTAAGCATAAAAAAATTATAAACCTGAGCAAAAATTTATATTTATATATTTAAGAGATATTATAAGTTGATTGTTTATTCATGTAAATATTAGACGAGTTGTTGGCAAACCTACATCGTTACATTGCATGTTGTGAAATTACTTTTCGCGCTGTAAAACATGCAGCCAGTGTAGCAATAGCTCTATTCTTCTTGGTGCATACTGATAAGGACAAGAATACATTCTTGTTGTGGATTAATTGTTAATAAATCACTATGTCATTTATTCCAAATAGTTAAAAAAAATTTCACCTCTCATTTTCTTTGCCAAATTGCCACTTGCGATCCTCATTCATCCAACATTCACACCCAGAAGATTCCAGGTAAGCAGCCCTTGATGCGTGACTTGACTCCAAGCGGAGCAGTCTAGGGAGTGTTAAGAAGGAAGGACTCCATCCTGAGATACACTTTAGAACACGGAATATCATCCAACAATCACATTGGTTGTGTCATATGCCGACCTGCTTAGTCTAGTCTGGCGCCTAAATTAGCTTAATTTAGTCGCACAAGGAGACATTCATTTAGGCTTGGTTTAGGCGGTGGGAAAGTGTGAGTTTTCTTAAGCATTTAGAGTGCATAAAATGGAGCCATGTGCATTTCATGGGCAGCAGACCTTTAGTTCAATTCCTACTTGGCCTTTATTCAGGGTTTCAATCACATTGTTTTGAAATCCTTCTCTGGATTTCCCCCAATGCTGTTCTCTGGAACTCACAGTAGCCCAATATGATTTCTGTGATTATCAGCAATCCATCTCTACGAAGTAACTCTAATTTGCCATATGAAGAAACCTTATCTATGATTGAACCTTTCAGTTTATCTCCATAAAATCCAGCACCCTTATTTGTCCAAATCTGCCGGCTCATGGACATGTCCTTGAATCTTCTCAATAATCCTCGAGGAACAGTTTTGGTTCTCTCAAAGTTCTTAATGTGTAAACTTAGTTACAATCAAGGACGCATCTGCATTTTTTCGTAATAACTTCGGCATGTTTCATACTCAAAGGAAAATCATTTGCAGGCTTACAAGCGACAGAACACCTCCCACTCCTCTCAATAACTAACCTCGCAACTCACCACATCCCCTATTACACTGCAATGGAGTTCAATATCCACTCGATTCATAAACGCTAGTGCTTGCAGTAGGCAGTTTAGAGAAACGTTTCGGGGCATTTGATATGCCACCGGATATGTCTAATATGCCCCAAGTTTTTCTAAAGGTTTTGATAGAAACTGAACGTGGATGACTTTGTGTCTAGCATATCCATCTCCAGTAGATGCAGGTACCTTGTAATTGTAGAGTAAAGATGTCTGCGTAAATGAAGGGTAGAATAAGTAGGCGCACCCGCGTAGTCTAGTTTAGGCGTTTCGGCATACGATCATCTAAAAGAAATAGGCCGGGTCATGTGTGATAGTATTTACTTTCATGCCTCCTTTCTGGGTTTAAGCAGATTCTCAAAACTGCAGAGCGTTGGTGGAAATTTGCTAACAACAATCACATAAAAACAGTTTCTAAAATATATAGCCATAGCAGGAAGAGCCATATAAGCTCACTTTGAACCAAACCAGTAACGTTTCTTCTTTGTATGGCTTCCCATCCCTTTTTTTGTTATCTGCATTTCTTTTTCTAGTACGTTTCTTTGAGAAGAATAACATTTTTAGCATCTGTAGTAGTTTCGGTAGAATCCATATCAAATGCACCCTTGCTAGATGACTTTTTTTTTCATCCTTCAAATATCCAGACCTTTAGCGATCTGAAATGTTAAAACTTTATTTTTTTATCCTATGTTAAAGACCTGGTCCAGGGGATCGAAAGCTATTCTCCATACCTCTCTCTAATTTATAGTTTCGAGTGTAGTTCATGCACCAAAATTATCTTATAGTTCGGTAATAATATTGAAATGTAGATTTAATAATCAGTTAGCCTGTTTCCACTGATCTACAATTCACTCTAGCGATTGCTAGTAGTATCTGTAGATATTTTCATTTTAAAGTCATGTCATTTGTAGACTTAGATAGTCTGGAAGTCTTGGATGCAGCAGTAAAATCCTATTATCCAGAGTGATGCTATTGGAGCCGCACCCACTTTGGATTCATCATTGGAGTGCTCGATGGGGTTTTGGGAATATTGCTCAGTGTTACTCGTCACCTTCTACATATGAGTCCGACTGTGGACGATGCAGTGGGTAGCAAAGAGGGGATATTGCAATGATTTTCGCCAGGAATTAAGGCTATAATTAGATGAGGTTGGGTGGAACGATCCCGTTGGATTTTGCAACTTACTGTAACTGTGATTGAAATCTGCACGTAACACGAGCACACGAACTGCTGGGGCCACCGGCAGCATGATTTGCACTTCTTATCCTGACTCTCCTTTTCCCGCTTATCCTGACTTTATTGGGGAACCTTTTGGGAGAACCTTTTGTCTCAAGATCTAGAAACACAATTGTACGCCGAGACTAGAGAGGAAGGTCGAGGCTCGGACTCAAGGCTCGCACGGGTGAGCAAGTTCATGCACGATAATCCATATTCTGAGAGCTCTTGGCTTCTGCACAAAACGAAAAGCTGCAAAATTACGAGAACATTCTGCGCAGCTCTAAAGAAGTCAACTGCTTTGTTACTGGAGTATGAAGGCACTTTAATGGCTGACACGACTATTGTCTACACTCTCGTCCTCAGCCACAAACCTGAACACTGTGCCCCTTACTTTCAATAGAAAAAGGTGGAAAACACTATTTTTTTCGCAGCAATTGCTTTGCCAATTGAACATTGGCCGTGTCCATGGATTTTCACCCCTCTTCTGCAAGCCGTTTCGCCTCTTCACCTCGCCCTGCACTCGACTGGAAGTTCACCCTCGGCCATCGTTGAGGATAAAGCTCGGCAGCAACGGGAAGCCGTCGAGTTGAATCAGGATCTCTCGGGGCGACCAGTGCGTTGTGGCCACATGTCCAACGAGAGGGGCTGAGAAATTAATCTCCCCATGTGCTCAGCTTTTGACCCCATCGCTGGGGGCACGAAACCAATGATCGCACTTTCGGCCGACGAGATCCTGTAAGGCTGTCTTTAGACTTGTCCCTTCAGTTCGTATGAACTCACTGTACCATGCTGCGCAGTACAGTATATTGCAAGGTTCTATCGTTCCACGAACCCAGATTGGGATGTTTTGCCGTCTCATTTATGATCCCGTCGATGGTGGGACCTCCATCCGCCTCCTCTTCTTCTCCTATTGGAAGTGCGTACTTGTTACGTGCAGGCTGGAGGGAGGACTGATTAGTGAGTAGTGACCAGTCGCCCCTGAGTTGAGATGAGTGAAAACTCCGTCGAGGAGACAGTGATTAGTCAAAATCGGAACCTCTGCGGGATATCTAGAAGCTTCCAGAGATTGGCTCGCAGTCATTTGACTGTCATCCTACATTGCTGCCTTGTAGATTGTGTGGTAGATATTATGATTGTAGCAAACGATCTTTTTCAGCCTCTAGAGACTCGAGTGCTGCATCTCGGGGTGCACTCGTTGAAGTAGTGCACTCGCCGAGCGAGGAAGACGTAACTTTGGAACTAAAACTCACCCTCACGCCACGCGGAAGACGTTTGACTAGTTTTCATCTTTCACCAACTTCAGTCTGCGAGAAAAAGTGACAACAAAGAAGAAGGGTGGCACAATTGGTGGTGTAGCTTCGGACATGGCCATACTGTCAATTGTCTCCGCGGCCTTAACTGTTTTTGACCTCCGTGTTTTATGTTTATCGACTGTAAAGCTTTTGGCGGCACTATAAACTGAATGGGTCTGATTCTTCCCTCCATTTCAGAACTATTCCAGCCAGTTTCCCTCTACACGTTTCACTACGGATGAAGAAGAGCATGTCAAGAGCAAAAGTCTGCCTTCTGTAGCGATGGCCTTAAGGTGAGCTTTACCCTGCAGACCCTAATCGAGAGATTAGGTAACGGTTTAAAATGTTTTACTGCTTACACTCAAACAATAGCACCCTCTCGGCGGATCATAGAAGGCCATTGCAGTGACCAGAGTCTATTGCAACGCCGCGTCCAACGCTCAGATATAATTCTCCTTGAAAGATGGCCAGATGACAATCTTGCTTGACCTCAAGGTTACCGAGCAATCTGTTGCTCTGAAGCCGGATGAATCACCGTGAGTAAGCAGTGGTAATATACTCTCCCACTTAATGGAATCTGTAATATTTGTAAAATGAGAACTGCAAAACGTCCCAAGTCACAATTACCTGTCTACAGGTTAGGACTTCATGGCTGAATATCGAGCAGTGGGAAGACCTGAGGGTCATCTTAACAGTCCACAAAAACAGCAAGGATTGGAAAGAAACCGGATGATCCCTTTCCGAAGCCTTGAAGATTTGAACACGTACCAGGTTCGCGGGCTAGAATAATGTTCAATAATACATCAAAGTATGTACGTGGGATAAATTTACATTGATTTTTGACCAACTAGATGTTGCTGGAATCAGCCAGCTCCTCTTCAATTAGACCAACACATTCTAGGACAGATTTTCCCGCTGACATGAAGTTCGCTAGTTTACTATGAAGATTCAAGTGTCGCCTCAATATGCTTACAGTGTTCAAAACCGCCCAACGCACCTGACTATCAGCTTTACGCTGCGTAAAACCCAGGATCTTCATCAGCTCATCCAACTGCAAGCATGGAAGTATCTGCGTTAGTGTGCAGATTTTTGGAGAGGACAGTGCTCTTCACGAACCAAACACCTCAATTTGTGCTGCATCTGGAGTGGACTATCCTCTCTACTGTGGTTAAGCTTTCATATCGGCAGCAACAGTTGTAATATTATATTGAAAATAAAAGCGGAAATTTTGAGGAAAGTTCACCTACTAAAGAAGTTTTCTCGCTTAACATGTCAATGAAAATGCCATGTGCGCGGTTTCCTACCTGGTTAATGTCTGATAAGCCACCTTCGGCAACACCGTACAGGATGTATTCTGTTGCAACTCCTGCCAATGCTATACAAGAAACTTTGTCGAGAGTCTGCAACACAGGACACATTGTTCGGGGACTTAAGTTTACGACACCAGATCTAGGATATGAAAACTATTCTCTCTCAAGACTGACAAGTTCATAACACTCAAATGCCTGGAATTCAGATGCTTTCTGCCTTATCACAAGTACAGAAATAGAAGATCTGAAGGATGGAAAACAGAGGACTGCCTTATGTGTTCTGAAAATCAATGAGGTGAACCCTTCGACTTACCCTACTTCCATTCAAGTCAGCAAGACAATAATCATTGATTCAGACATGGGAATGAGATGATATTCTTTGAAATTCAAATGACATCATCGGAACTCAGACAGCAGACTCGGACACTTTCACTTACCCCGGAAGAGACCTTTCCGCCTTGGACCTACAAACAATCCACCGACATAAGAGTGAACAATCTCCACAAATAATACTGCGTATAATGTCAAAGTTGAGACCTACAGTTCACTTCACAACTACCTTGGCTTCAATGATCTGGATACCTCATACCTTGAACACTTCGTTAAAGAACTCACTGGCTTGCATGAGTTTTTACACTGTCGATTAAACTCACTATTCTCTATAAAACGAAGTCGGTATACGAAGTATAGTCAAGACAGAGAACATCAGTCATAGCTCCATATACCTCCTCCTGAAATTCAAAGTCTATAAAAGTAGTTCCAGCTTGTACATTGAGTGCTCCAAATCTTTGAAACGCATCAAGGCTGGATAGAGTATAGCTCTTAGGCATGAATCCCATCAGATAAGCAACCAAGAAGTGTCCTGCTTCATGCTGTGAGAAGAACACAAGAAATTTGTTAATACCAAAAGGGTATTGATACCATGAAGATGCATCTGTAGACAATAACGGTCTAAATATTTGAAGTGTCGCCATCTGACGTTTATCAAAATCCCTGGAGTATCATGATACTGCTATATATGGGCTGAGTCCTTGGTCCATGACGCTGCTCAGAACTTAACTTATAATTAAAGACACCGGAACAACATCAGGAGCCCTTTGGTAAAATTTCAGCTCTATTTGTATCAATGGAACCTCCGTAATATAGTATAACGTTTTAAAAAAAATACCTTGGCGACTCTATCTCTGTATTTCTCACTTAAAAGTCGGCCGATTGTATCAAGGAGTAAGGCTTCAACCCCTCCGCCGTTCGCAATCTATGACATCAGGTACATGCAAACTTATTGAGGATCCAGCACCATGACGACTGGGGAAATATGTTAGGCAGAGAAATACAAAGGAGTAGTAGAACAATGTAGCAAATCATCGCAAATGGATATTACAAAAAACAAAGATGAACGCATTATTGTATCCTGTTCAAAATAGTGCGGCTTCAGAGGTTACTAGATTTGGAAATGACATCGTGTAAAAGGTTGGTGAGCTACCTGATCCACAGTCCCAAGAAACACGAACAGCACTACAGCAGACAGTAATTGATATTGGTTGAGATCCAGAACCCTCCATGTAGTCACTCCGAGTAGAACAGCTGCCACCTGCAAGTTTCCTCGTATGGAACCAAGAGTAGAATCGACTGGAGATAAAAACTTTTCTGCTTCAATTTTGTTCAGACGGAGCTCCTCAAGTGTGTACGCTCTTTGTGGAACCTGGGCACGCGACAGAAAAGCCATCAGAGTCTGCTGGGTGGTACCTCGAGTATTGTGCTATTATGGGAGACCGATTGCTTAGAGTGCGACCAGATAATACTTGATTGTAAAGCTCTGGCTATTTTGATATACCGACAACTGATATGGAATTTGACATCAGACTTTCTCCCTCTAAGGAAGACACTATTCCGGAACTTACATCTGCTACTGCTCCTGCACAGGGCGTTGCATGTTGTGGTTTAATGAAGCACATGATAGGAAGGCCTCGTTTCCTGACAATCAGTGAGGCGCTTGTGAGTTAGAAAAAAGGCACCTACTGTATTTATGTCAAACAACTGGTTACAGCAGGATTATCAATTTCCTGCCTTGCAGATCTGCGTCTATTGATATTTTCTTCAAGGTAGAAAGCGACTCTTACTCTGCGCAGGATACTAAAGTACTTATTACAGCGACTCATTACAGGTTTGAGGTTCAACGTTTAGCTCATATATGTTTTGAGTTAGATCACGAGGGAAAAAGAGAAGACGAAGAAGAAGAAAAAATAGACGCAGCAAAATATCTAGACGAAGACCGCAAGTAGGTCTAAGAAGAATTTAAAGGCCTGCGGAATGTGGAGAAGGATATATTTTTTGAAGTTGCCAGCAAAATAGAATGACAGAAGGCTAAGATTGTTCGAATCTTCCAAGAAGTCATAGTCCGCACAGAAGTTCCGTATAAAAAGTGGACGTTTTTTTTAAGAGTTCCGTCATTTGAGTTTGTTCACCTACGACCGAAAACCTTAACAGTCTAGTACTATTCAATTGCAATTCCAGCCATCGCCATTTACTTGGAATCAACTTAGTGCATATTCGGTGGAGACTCTCAACATCTGATAAACTGTTCATCGCAGACTACTCTCAGACAAATTCCAACATCATTTTCATAAATTTCAACCGAATGAGGTAAAGTGTTGAGCTCGAACCAATTGAGCCGCTCCGAAGGCACGAAGTTGCTTAGCCAGCTCCAGAGCTTGCTTCTCATTCCCTCGTTGAAGCTCGGCATCAATCAAATTCAGCCATACCTTAGAATCCACGCCTATTTTCTTGGTCCCGTCTACCTTCAAAAACTCTTCCATGGAGGCCCTGGCACTAAATCTCGTGCGCTTCAACCCCTCCTTCCCGGCGCACAACCTGAGCTCCTTACAACCGGCTGCGAATCGCCCACCGCCTTCGAAAAGGCCGACAAATCCATTCGCTCGCGAAACGGGGCGAGAGATCGTGCCGGCATTGCAAACTATCAAGCTGCCCTGGGCCATGGGGATTCGAATGGATTTCTCAAGCGCCAAATCTTCCTGCGCGAATGATCTACAACAGGCTGGACATGCTACACGAGAGCGAGCGCTGGAGTCGACCAAATTCCAGTGTTCAACATTTGAATGCTTGGTTCAAAGTTTCGATAAGTTTCCGCACCAGATGTTGTTGGCAGAGCCCAGGGGAGGGTGATGGTGCCGAGAGGCAGGTCTATGTGGAATACTGCCATTCGTGTGCGTCCGACATGGCAAGTTCCAAGCCCACATTGCAGCCTTCCAACCAATTACTGTGCCATGTAGTATGCCAAGTCTCGATTACACTGGATCACCTGCCAAATCAGCAGGCCAAGTCATCTGCGTCACTCTTTCTTCATCGTATGAAATTGTCAGTCCACGTACTGATTCTCTACATTCAGGGGAACTCACTGGAGTTTTCGGTTCTCTATCCTTCGTGTGAGGGTTTATCGTTTGCAAGTTTTTCTACAGGACAGATGTGTTACTTCTCATTTTTGAGATGATCTGTTTTACCCAAACCATACTTTCTTTGCAATTTAATGCAAATAAATCACTTAGTACAAAGATTAAGTAAGTAGACATGCATGAGCAGAATTGAAAAGTTTATAATAAAAAAGATGTCATTAGAATCAATTTTTAATTTATTTTTAATTTTATATCCTTTTTAAATTTAAATCCACCAATTATTAAATTTTCACATATTTCAAACTTCAATTGATTAATCTATGAAATTATTTCTGAAAAGTGATAATGAAACACCAAACACCAATTATCATAATGAGAATGCAAACTACATATCACATAAAAAATATCATAGGAAATCAGAGAGTATCTAAGTGGCTTTGTCGAAATTATTACGTCATGACATAAGAACATGGACGAGCTCTGAAAAGAACATAATATAGTGTGAACATTTTCGAAGAAAAGAATATAGAAGGGAGTAGGGAAAAAACTTCTTTTGACTAAAACGGATTGCACATGTGAGGTTTTTTTTATGAATGTGGTTTTTAAGACAAAGCGATTTCAATGTAAGTAATAAATGTACTTGTTATTACTCTAGTTCATACCGTCATCAAGAAGTTCCTCACATGTGTAGAGAAAACGAATCAACAATGAGCCGAAAATCTAAAACATCATACAAATATAATTTTGAGAAAAAATTAAATGGTTAATATTCACATACTGTACTAAAATGTTCCATGAAGGGAGATTACTTTCATATTTTCTTACTTGTCATTATTCTAGACGAAAGAAAATATTACATTGTATTTCAATTTTCAAATAAAACATTTACAAATTATTTAAGATGTACATCTTCGGTCCGACAGCAAAAATTATCTAATCAGAAAAGTTTGATTCTTGCTCTCTTCAATAATATACTTAATACAGTTGCCAAAAATCGACAGATACCACTCAACTTTGGTTTATAAGAAGTAAAACAATGTTTTTAAGCAACTATATTTCATTACATGAATGTCACAAGATTTGTTGATGGTGGAAGTACGCTCTAACGCGGTCACTCCTCTTTCACAAATTAAGACGAGAATGTTCCTCTATCTAGGTCATCATCCTTCGGAATCGGCAACATGCCCTGCCCAATTAAATGTGTAATAAAATCCTCTTCGCCAAACAGTTATGTACTATTTGTTCACTCCAAAGTGACCGTAAGACTTACGGATTTACATTTCTTTGTTTGGTTTGCGTTCTCTTTGGTTGCGAGGATTAGTTCTCACTTGTTTTTGAAATATGTGGAATGATGGATTCGATTCAAGAACTCTCCCTGATAACAAATTCGTGGTTTCTTCTGTTCCTCTCGCATCTGGGAGGGAGAGAAAGTGACACTTATTTATATGAACCAAATTAAATATACGTGACATTTACATATATAATATGATTACACATATGTTCTTAGATAACATTGCTAGAGGTTTATTTATTAAATTATCTCGTCTCAATTTATGCTTCGACTCCATGCATTTCTTCAAAAACCAAATTTTTTTTATTTCTTTCTTCTAATTATCAGTAGCAGTCACATACTTCTTTGACTTTTCCTTTTTAGGAAGCAAATGATTTACTATTTTGTTGTCACAATCATCTGTTGGAAAATTTTCAAATCAAGAAGATGGAAGATGATAAAAACATTAAAATATAAACTTACAAAAATTATTAAGTAAAATGTATGTGCATGATACAATAAATGCAAGAACCTAAATAAAGTCCTAGTCCAATCGTATGGAGGAAAAATATTCGTGTGTACTTATTGTACTTGTATTGAAGTAAATAACATAGATATTTGCAATGTTATTGACATATTTTATGATATTACAAGAGTCAAGGTTATTCCACCAAGAAACATATTACTCTTATAAATGTCGGAGTATTGTAGTTTGTAGAAACTACATGTTATGTAACAATCACGAGTTTTCGGTTATGATTTTTCCGAATCGAAAAATTTCCCGGTAATAGCTGTGGTTGTCTTGCACTTCTTGATATTTCGCAATATTTTTTTGGATACTTTTCTATCATTGTGTGTAATGTTTTTATTGGTGCCAACATATTTTGTAATAGTTTTTTCCAAATTTATAATTACAAACATTTATAATAAATTTTTTATTGTTTCAAAGTTTCGCATCAGTTGTGTTCATTTTTTAATGTGTCTATTGTCAAGAAAGTAAGTTTTGTGAGCTTTACATTTTGCTTTCTGACTAATTTTTTTGTATTTTTTGAAGAAGTATATTTATTGCAGTGTGATTAATCGAATATTTCACTACTTTTTTTCCTTAGATGAGATGTATATAATTTGTAAATATACATTGTTTGTCAGTGAAACGATTAATAGTTAAAATATGTTTACTTTCACTTTCCACTTTGAACACTATGTGGAAGTTAAAGTTAGTTTTATATTACTTAGAGTTGACATTTCAGTTGACAATGCTTCTATAAACAGTTTATAAGCAAATATTTTCTTCTTAAGAAATATGTTTCTACTCGCTTGCAAAGAGAAAAGGTTATAACAGAATATTTATTTTTATGTTTTCTTTCTTGATCAGATTGCAGAATGTTCATTGGTGCTAGATACAATTCCAACTTTGTCTGTTATATAAGATTAACAAGTCATAAGTTTAAATGTGTAGTTAGAAGTGAAAGTGAAAAATATTCATATACTCTGGCTACTGGAAAGTATACAAAGTGGATGATATAGTTAATCAACTGACAAATAAAATATTGGCCTCAATATGGTGGTATAGAATATACTATTGAAAACTATACTTTTCTAGACTAAAATAGATTTGTACATTTTTCCAACGTCGATCAATCATAGTTTTCTACATCATCTCCATTACATACAGGTACACTACTTCACACCTTCAAATTTACATCATTTTTTCAACATTCCACATAACTTCAGACCATTTTCAAGAAAGAGAATATTCTTATACAAGTTGAAAGAATCCATCATAAGCTGTCTAAGAGCTGTGCAAACTACCGACTTCGAGGCAACTATTTTACACAACACCAATATTGCCCACTATTCTTCCGCCGAGCAGATAACCTGAAAAAATTCGCTACTTTACATGGAATCATTGGCAGTTTGCGAAGCCACAAGCGGAAGTTGTTTCTATTGAACTATTCCACTATTTTGGCCAAGCAAAGGCACACATAATTCTCTTTGGATCAGGTATATCACACTATGTAATTAAGTTCATGTGGATATAGGCTGCTGAACATTCAAGTAGTCAGCTGGAAGCAGCGGCACTGAACATATCCCTTTCCAATGAAATATTTTAGGGAAGAGATATATTCCTTACAACCAGCTTCAACCTAACCAGAGTAAGTTCCTTTCATTTACACTTCGACAATCTCTACCTTTGGTAGATATGACAATTTCAATTTTCCTGCCACGTTGTACACAAGACTCTCTTCTTACTTGGGGATGGAGATAGTATCTCCGGCAACGATAAAATCGGCATTCCAAATTCCGTTGGCTGCTTTGATCTCATCGATAGTCACCTGCAATTCAATTGGTAAACAACAGTAAGAATGTGTACAGACCAGCGACGATGAGTTAATTTTTGTTCCAACTAAATTCGCCACAAAAAGGCATAAGCCGTAATACCATATACAAATGACTCTCACTATGCATTATCTAAAATATCAGGCTAACACACAAAGTTGAGAGCATTTGAAAGCTTACTCCATAACGTCTGGAGATGCTCCACAAAGTATCACCCTTGACAATTCCGTATTCACCAACTCCTCCTCTTCCGGACTTCGACCAACCTGGTTTAGTCTGTCCTCCCTTCCCAGGTAATACCTTATGGGCCAGATCAGAAACTTTGTGGGCTACATTAGAACCTGCATGTTCAACAGATTGTTCGGTATCATAAGCAAACTTCTTCACACCTTCCTTTTCCCTGTTCGCTTCCGCTCCAACTTTATCAAAGAAGCCAGATCCAGCTTCCTTTACATTCCTCTCCTTATCGGCTGCATATCTACTAGCTTCATCGCTTTTCCTTTCCGCCTCAGCCTTCATCTTGTCATAGTTATCATTTGCTTTCCTGTCCTTGTCGGAGGCAAATTTCTTCAGATCCTCTTTGCCTTTGTTCGCCTCTGAGCTTCCTCGACCAAACCAGCCTGAACTTGCCTCTTTCGCCTTTCCTGCTTTGTCTGTTGCGTAGTTCTTACTATCTTCTGTTTTATCAGCAACGAAATTTTTGGCTTCCTTTGCTTTGTCACCTACATAGTTTTTGCCATCTTCGGCATCTGAGCTTAACTCATCTCCTGCTCTGTTGAAGAAATCAGAGGTCCCGCTGCTCACTCTCTCACCCTTCTCATTGGTCCAGTCTTTGACCTCCTGTCCCTTCCCTTTGACAGCATTCTTTATCTCCCTGCCCTTGTTTTCAAGAGCGCCCTTGAATTCACCAGCCTTCTGCTTCACTTGCCCTGCGGCATCCTGTACAATGAAAGGCAACCGGGAGTAAGTAGCCAATAACAATGAAAACCAGGAGTGAAGCAATATTTGTCAGAAACACCCTCAACCTGCTAACACGATACCCGACTGTAGGCAGTCGAAACCAGGATGAAAAACCGCAATACGCTATACGACGTTGATACAAAAAACATGAGCAAAAAGGTTTTATCTCATCACACTTTTTAATCTAGACCTACAACACAGAATAATCACCTTAGTACGATATTCAAGGTCTTCTAAAGCTGCTGGCTTTTCAATACTGATTTGCTCGTGAAAGGGCTCAGATTTGGCGTGTGATCTGTGACCAAGGGGTTCCTCTGACTTGTCGGCGAAGAATGCTTTGTACAGACCATAAGCGATTCCTGAGACGATAACAGCTCCTGTCACCTTGGCAACCGTATCGTTACTCCCTTTACCATCTCCCTTCGGCTCTTTCGGCCCCGAAGCGGTCCCGTTTCCCTTCGCGGCAGACATTATCAGCTAATAGAGAGAGATCTGCACATTTCACCAAATACGCATCACACAATCATCGTCAGCTGATTGCGCGAACGTGAGTAAGTCACACATCCGAAATTGCACAGGCAAGCTTGCTGATTTCCTCTCTTGTGAATCAAAATGCAGACCAAAACCAGGACCGGAAGAAACTTTATGACGAGGACAAGACAATAAAGTACGTACACTTCAGCATTTTCAACAACAGGTACCATGAGAACAAAAGAGATCATAGTAAATGTGCGTATATCCACTCTTTGAGAATACTTCATGTGTCATACCTCGATCTGCCGACCGAGCACGAGTGACACTACACACTACTCCCCTTATCATTAACAACACAACCGAAGCAGTAACAAGATCGACGTCACAGTTGCTACCGGAAATAACTATCAGTCTCAAGAAGCTACGAGTCTCGAGAGGAATCAGAAGTCGGCATGCTAGACATAAAAGTGACTTGGAAGTACTTCGACAAAGATTCAACTAAAAGCAAGAAGCGCAACCGAACTCAAGATAATATCACGCCGCCGTGCTGGCATATTCAACGAGAAAACACGTACTTGTACATCGTCTCCCTCACTCCTCAAATTCATCTGGTTACAAAAATCCACTACAAAACACGAAAACCACCCTCATCGGTATCTGTGGTCTCGAAGGCGCTCTCGGTGAATAGCATTCAAGAACACGCTCCTTGTCCAAGAAATGCCACCAGCAAGAAACTGCCTACTATACACGGAGGCCGCAAATCAGGGCAGCGGAAATGAAAAAGCTCAGAAGAGCAAAAATCTTATTCAAGAAGCATCAGTCCACGACACAAATCGACACACATACTCAGCTCGCACCAATTACCGGAAGGGCCGCCGGCAGGACAAACCTACATTGGCCCGATCGGACGTCTGCGACCACCACTGTCACCGAGGCAGCCACACTCACCAGATTGAAGAAGGTCGGTCGAGGGCGGAGGGTAGCGCGCCGGGTGATGCTGCGAATTTCGAAATGCAACGATCGACGGGGAACGAGGAGGGGGCTGTGAGGACAGGCGGGACACACGCTCTGAAGGGAAGGGAAGGTGGTGGGGTGATATGGGAAAGAGGGCGAGTGAAGTGGGATGCCAAGTTGCAGACTCTCAGATGTACGGGGAGCTTATGTTCGAGAGGGAAAGAAGGCACGTGGAGAGCTGCGATAGGCACAAATCAGATTGCAAGGTGGAAAGAGTGGGGGGAGGGCCACGTGCGCAGAGGTTATCATCATCGGCACTTGACACGTCGCAAGCGCTCCACTTCCTTCATGGTCATATGGAGTCGACACGCGGCGGGTTGATGTGCCTGCCTTCGACATTCGGCGGTAACTAAGCGGTACCACCAGACTGAGCCTACTCTACAAGTTTTAATTGGAATGCAGCGCACCGATGCCGTCGATCGTGACAATCTGAGTCGCTCCGACAGACAGTGATATGCATATCGTCAACATCGTTCAGGGGTTGGTACCACATCCACTCTTCACTCTGTTCCTCCCCTGACAATATTGTACCACGTAATGGGAGAGGAGAAAACCACTTCAACCGGACCATGTTATTATGCACGGCCAATGTGCACTGCAGGCGGAATATGATCGCATGCTGCATGCCGCGACAGACAATTCCATGTAGGCTTTACACTCTCGACTAATCTGATACCCAATTAGTCCTAATTGTGCTTTCCAGGAAATGTGGGTAGGACTTTACGATGAAACCTGAAAAAGGCTGTGTTGCAAGATGTGTACGAAACTCCATCATTCAAAAAATTTGTCCCCTAGGTAGGAAAAAGATTTTATACACTTACTCGGCACATGGTGCAATACACAGGTTAGACACAAATCTATCAATCTTATATACTTTGACACTAATATATATATATATATATATATATATACTTACTTACTTGGTGTTGGATCGTGTACTCTTTCGCATTTCATTTTATAAAGTGTCACCGGTATTTATTATGATTGAGTAGATTTAAAATGTTTAAAAACATAAATCTATACACAGTATTACTTGATTATATACATTTATTTTTACTAATTTTAAAAATCAAATGATTTGAAGATCTTGATACAGTTTATAATTCAATATATAATTTTCAAATTTTAGTATAGTGTCATGAATTCTCCTTTAAAGAAAGGGGATGATTTCACAGTGTCCAAAGTTCATGGGTACTATCTGGTGCCATTTATATAGAAAATACATTAGAGTGTTTCATAATGTATATTCTGTACTCCCTTAGACAGAATTGATATTAGAATGCTACTAGTATAGCATACTATGCCATAGGTTGCACATATATTACATATAAATATCAACAAAAACTTGTCTATTTCATCACGAGTCAATATCACTGAAGGGACAAATTGAAATGATAGTGGAAAACGGTTTTCGACTAGATCTGAATCTTGTTATCCAAGAATAAAAGAAATTTCCAGATTCAGATTTAAATTTTCATAGATATAGGAATCACACCACTTTGATATGAATAGCATGAATAATGTGCGAAAGAAATTGCAAGCACTCTAGGATATGAAATATAGACTACAATGATCATTATGCCGAAATTTTACATGTACTTTGATGCTGAGACATGATTCAAATGCTTATTTCATTGTAGTTTTATTTTCAAAACGTCATAATTTCATACTAGTGTACAATAGAAATAAATGTTTAGCGATTTTTCAAGAATTAAAGTAACACATATCACATTCCTATTTATTAATTATATTAACCTTATATTTCTACAATAGTGCATCTTGTCCACATATATCATATACTTCATCATAATGAGGTTGGTGTGGAAACACAATTTGATGGCATGGACGCACAATGTGTGAGATGATTCATCGGCATATTCCTACCTTCGATCACTTCACTATATTGGGGTTCAATTCTTTCTTCTCGTTCATGACTAATCCTTTTTGTTCGTATATCGTTGCTTTAACCGTGTGTTCAATAAACAATCACCACTTACTGTTGGTTCACCAAGCACAAATTCATAAGTCTTCAGATTTACCAAAGTTAATCTCCTAACATGATTTTCGAAATAGTTGAGAAATGGAACGCAATGAGGATGGTGAAGGAATCAGATTAAGAAAACATAATTTGGTCAACTTGATAAGAATGTTGTACGAAACAAACTTGCTGGTTGTCTGTCCACAAGGATACATCTCAGATGAATTGGAATAGACAACTATTGCTAAAATTGCCAATATTCATTTAGGTTGAAACATTATACTTTGAAGAAACTCTTACTCGTGAACCTGAATTGTGATCAATGTTTCACCCTTTGAGTTATATCGTTGGGCAAATGCAGTTCAGCTTTTGCCCACGCAGGTACTGCTCAGGAACAGTACCTGCTTGTAAGTCCCAAGTAGCATGTGGGACTGTGAAATTATCATACTTTACACATCAATTGGATCCACCCTGGCAATTTTGGGATTTTCTAAGAAAAATTCTTGGTCATGTTTACTCACCGTGCCGTAAAATTCCTTCTCTTCACTATCGTTGGGTTTCATACTTTCAGGGCTTAGTAAAACAGGATTCACATCGCTAAATTCCATGAATTAATGTCTCATTAAGCTACGTGATTTTCTGTCATGAAAAGAAACATTCCACCGAAGCCAGCATATCTAGGTGAGATCCATCGCAGCTGTTCCAGACTGGCGGAGATGGCGGTGAGGATGTGTATGTACAAAACCTAGACAGCGGCAAGAGCAATAGAGCTCCATCGCAGCTCTCACTCGAAAACTTGCAGAAATAACGAACAACTGGAACACAATATTGCCAATATTAACAAACTATGATCAAGCCAGACCTGAATAGTGACGAATATCGCATGAATCCCTCATCGCCGTTAGTCTGCTAAAGAGGATTGTTGAAGACCTTCCACACCACCTGCATCAACGGTAGTCATTGTCACTTCTGCCTTCACGAGCAAACAAAAACCTTGCAAGAAAACGGAGGAATCTTTCTCGTTTTCCCTTCCAAACCTCTTCGGACGCAGCCTGTGAACGGATGGTGACGGCCGAGAAAGAGAGCAGGAGAAACTGTCAAGGACTGAAAAATTCGTGGACACCCAGATTGCAACTTTGGATATACCGGAGAGGGATAGGAACGGGTAGCATCAGCTGTTTGTTTCTTACTGCTCGACTTTCTGTGTCAACTGCCGACTCAAGAGACAAGGTGGCACGAGGGAATACATGTCCCTAAGGTCGTGGTCAATCTTCCGGGAGAGTCGAAGTGAAGAAAAACAGGTTTCCCGCAGTGGCGACAAGTGGAGCCTTTTCTGTTTTCTGAAAGAGCAGGTGATTTCTCCATATTCGAAGCATTCGATCCAGTGGCGAAAAGAATCCGTCGACAATTTCCTCCTCGCCAAGCGTCCTCTCTCTCTCTCTCTCTCTCTCTCTCTCTCTCGTGCTAGAGGCTCCTTCACTCGGTACTCCGAAATTAAGAACCCGCGTTACCCCCACGACAACCAGCTCTTGATGGTTCCGTGCTCTCAAAAGCCGGCCATCGATCGTGATGCACTGTCATGCATCGCGGAAGAGCCCAAGAATAATAAGCGCGTCCCTGTCTGCAGAGAAACCCGAACACACAGGCCACGCTTTTGCCTCGACAGAACTCCGGGTTCAGCCATCGTCGACACGCATCGTCTAAGCACGATGGAATGAACTGGTGCCGGTGCAGCGATTTCAGACGCTCAAATTGAGGAAATAGAACTGTGGTAAAGAACTGTGGTCATAAGGAGACGTGGTCTGTCGCTGCGTGGTAGGGCGTGGCCCTCTTCTCTCTCTTTGTCTCTTCTGCGTGGCCTCTCTGTTGCTGGAGGGCAACCTCTAGAGGAGAATAGAGTCCGTGCTGAGTCGAAGGAACAACAGTCCACCTGGCTCCCTTGACTTGACTTGACTTCTATCCTGCTTTTGCTTTTCGCCCATCCTGACATTCTCGGAATGTTAGAAGGACCAAGTTGACAGGTTTATATTGTATAGCCCGGCCAGTATATCACATTATTGTGATGTGATAGTTTGTTACAGGTTCTGGATAATGTAAGTCTTTGGATACACTATCGAAGTCTCGGTCTCGAGTCACGATGAAACTTTATTGAGATTATTCCAACACTCTCTATGATACAAAACTGAAAAAAACCCGAGTGTTCGTTTGAACCATCTTCAAAAAAGCTTTTGTAATTGGCAGGTGGCCAGGATCTCCAACAAACCTTTCATGAGGATGACCGAGTCACTGAACCTTAATCCTATGGGACGATCCTGAAAAATATTACTTGGCTATAGGGAGGACATTAGGGTCAAGTACCGCTGTCTCAATATTTGCGGTTACTTTAATCATTTTAGCTCAGTTTTGGAGCATGCGAAGAGATACAAGTAATTTTCTGTCGTGTAGTCACCTGTTCAAATCAGCCAAAATAAAGGCTTATGGGAACGGGCACACCGACTGAAGGTGAGCAGTCAGTCACCACCGGCGTTGAAACTCCTAGAGATTGATGTACGGGATGGAATGGTGCAGACTTACGGACTCGATGAAATCTGGAGTTCCGGATTTCATCATATGTCTCGAGCAAACTGTGCAGAACCCTTGCGTTCTTGTCGGATCGACTTTTGTCGGAATGGGAGTGAATTTCGTGCGATGTTCTAGAACTCGAAAGTTTGTTACAAAAGTCTTTGCGTGATGTCATCGGCCTGCACGGGAGACGCGTCCGATGGACTGTATCGGTAATCGACAGCGGCAAAATTCCGACCTCCCATCGACTGCTTTCTTCTCCTGCTAGGGGCTGACAGCAGTTTGATATTCCCCTTCCCTGCATGTAGTCAGGAGTGCGGGCGGGATCCGAGAACTTATAAGATTATAGTTTGTTTTGATTCTGTCCGCATATGATTGTGTGGTACTTTAATTTACATGCATGGACTTCGTCTACCTTCGATCTCTAGGTCTGGCCTGTAGAGCTTTGCCTGTCATACCTTTCAGTATATCCTTCGGATGAAAGCCATGAATATCAAGAAGTCAAGAAGGGCCCTACCTCCTGCTTTGGCAATTACGTCGTACTAGCTTAGCCAGCAGAGCGACCTCCCTCGTTCCAGCCTCTTGGTTTCCAGCACTGGCAGGAATGAAGCACTTTTTGCATTGAGTTCCACGCTCACTCGTCTCGCTATGTGCCCAAGCTCTACAAACCAGTCCTTTAACTTGTACGAGGTACATGATGTAACCTAGTCGCTTGAGAGATAGAGAGTTGCAAGGATTTGGAGACTCCCTCCCCATAGAACTACCGGTGAAATTCCATTCACAAAGAACGGTGGAGATATGCTTGTTTTAATGCTGTAAACTATTACCTTCAGATGGCTCCATGAATGCAGTGATAATCACACGCAATACAACCAAAAGAGACAATTTAGAGAGCCCTTGACAGAATCTTCTGAATTTATCAATTAGATTCATCAATTATAGATTCATACTCTAGGCAGTACAATTGATTGTTATGCATCAAACTCACACACACACACTTTGACTTTGACCACCCACAAACGAAGGGAGCGTTCTTCTAAAGAGAGCAGACTCTGGCCGCCCCTCTCCCTCGTGGGGTATAAGAAGCAATTCATGTGCTAAGCACAGCAAAGTTCACAAGCGCGTCCAGTCTTCGGAGCTCAGATTTGCAGTTTAGACAGGGAACGATGAGCTGATTTCAAACGGAGAGAATTGAGAAGTTGCACAATTTGGGAGTTACAAACGCAGCCCACAACCGAGCGTGGAGAATTGTTCAGAGAGTTGCGCGATCGACAGGTGTTGAGAAGTCGCAGAGTTCGAGAGGTACACACGTAGCCTAGAACAGAGCGTCGAGATCGAGAAATCGAGAGGTGTCGAGGAGATTTTCGGAAGCAATCATGGCGGATGGCAATCAGCATGTGGAGGAGGTCGGATTCGATCTCCTCAGGGAATTTGATTGTTTCGGACCTGAATCTCAGAGAGCGCTGATACCAGCTGAGGGCGAGCTGGTGCAGGATTGAGCTCTACGATCGATGTCCGGAGAGGAGCAAGTAATTGTCCCGGCCGCGGTTCTTTGTGCGGTGGGCGTGGGGTTGTGCATTAGACGCGATGAGTGAGGAACTTGTCTACCTCACGAGTGAGAACCCTCGATGCGACGAACACGGTGACAAAACACACAATTCATAAACGCGCGGAGGAATGCAGGCTAAAAATTGAGAAATTAACTAATGCAAAAGCTCCTCGAATGCAGAGCCTTGGGCCTCTTTATTCCTAACTAACTCGCTGAGATGTCATTCGCTGTAATGCGAGCTCCCAATAGCCGCGACGCCAGCCGATCTGGCAGTTAACACGCCAGCTGAGCTCCTATCTACTCCTATCACACTCAAAACAGATGACATTTCCAATTCCAAGTTCTCCTTTGTGGTACCCCACTTTTGGTATTTTTGAGGAATTTAAAACATTTTTGGAAAACTTTACTGCGGCAGCAGTGTAAATAGTCATCGGTGCATCAAAATAGAACGAAACTGGATGATCTCGGAGAATCTCAAAAGATCTCGTAGAATCCAGGAGTTGGGCGCAACGTCTGGGACAGACGCCGCTCTAAATACGGGCTCTGAAGGAGTACCCCTTCGGCGCGAGGCGCGAAATCCGCCTTCGGCGCTGCGCCTTCGGCGCTAGAGAAATCCTTCAGAATCTGATCAATTCCCAAACGCCTCGACTTGATTAGGGTTTTTTTGGAAAGAGCTTGACGCGCTGATTCTAACGAGCCCAAGAACGCCACGAACGGATGAGGACTCCGGGAGTTGTGAAGGTCGCAAGATACGCAAATTTTCGCCTACGCGTAGGCGAGGGAAGTTTGTCCTATGCGCGGACGAGGGAAGTACGCCTACGCATAGGCGGAATAGGGTTGACGTCGGCGGGATGTCCGCCGCGAATGTTGCCTACTCGTAGGCGGGGAGGACTAACACCTATGCAAAGGCGGACGCAAAGGCCGCCTACGCACAGGCGCTTCGGCGTCGGCGGGAAGGGTCGGGATTACGGGGACAAGAGCGCCGACGGAGAGGCGAGAGAAATGGACAGATTGGACGGAGTCCGTTGACCGCGGTCAACGCCTTCGGCACAGCCGCCTTCGGCGCTGCGCCTACGGCGAGGGACCTGCGCGGACGAACGTCTGATGCGCGGACGGAATTCGCCTACGCGTAGGCGAGCGCCTACGCACAGGCAGATGGAGTTCTGCGCCGGCGGAGATTCCACCGGGGATTCCGCCTACGCAGAAGGGAGTTCGATTTTTGTCATATGCGCAGACGATCGCCTTTGGCGGAGCGGGACTGGCCAAAGTTAAGCACGAAGGAGTGTAGCGCGCCGGCAAGAAATCCGCCTTCGGCGCTGCGCACCCATGTCCGCGGCGTAGTACGCTAGCGGAGTTCAAATTGCCAATTCGAGCGTGTGAGTTAAGTCGGCGTCGGCGGAGTGTGAAGCCGCACGTGAGAGAGGAGGCCGTTATAGCGCGGAGCCGGCGCGGCCATCAAGTGATCCGACCTTCACGACCTAGAGCCGACCATGACCTTCAACAAGGAGACAGAGTACGCCCCATTCTTGAATTCGCGATTTCACTTTCTAGTGCGAGCTGCGCGCGTCCACCTGCTAGCTGTTAGACACTCTAGACATCGCCGCGCGGAGAATTACTCGGTGGCTGAGAGAGAATTGAGTGCGCGCGAGTTGGAATTGAGAGAAATTAGAGTTTGCAGAGAAGGCAGAAGCGCGAGCAGAGCAGAGAGAGAGTTGTTGCGCAGGCTAATTTCAAGAACGCAATGTCGAAGTTGAACAGGCTGCGGATGATGCCACTCCGGCTTCCACAGAACGGGTTGCGTGCTTTTGAGGAACGGCTGATTGCAAGGAAACTTGAGTTCTTGCTGTGAGGATGGAATTACGTGTGTGTAGACATGGTGCGAGAATGGTTGGACGCGGAGCGACAACCTACGCGCGGATTGCGTCCGCACGTAGATAGATGGACCGTCCACGATTGGGCACAGGCATTGGGGAGGTGTGCCGGCGACGACGGGTACCTCCTATTTGATAGTGAGAGCGTCAAGGTGTCGAAGCAAGACGAAGCGCAATTCGTGGAATTGTTCAAGCGGGGGAGGTCTTCCAAGAACGGGTACAAGACCCGCGACTACAAAGATCGTTTCCGCAGGACTGTAGCGGCGGCGCTGCTGCAATTGTTGCAGCCGCACCGCACTTCGTACATCACGTTGTGGCAAGTATCTTTTGTGGAGCTCACATTAGCCGGAGCTCTAGTTCACTGTGCGCGCATCCTACATAGGGTGATGCGACAGCATGCATATGAGGAGAAAGGAGGAACTCTCAATCACCTCTCCCCCTTCTTGATAAACTTTTATCGACAGAGGAATTGTCTGACTACGGCGGAGCTTGCTCGTTTTCCGCCATTGTCAGTCGACCATCCCGGGAAGTATGTGCGGGATAACGAAGTCGACACCGACGCAGAGGATTCACCAACTTCCACTCCACCGACTCAGCGGGACGAGGGAAGAAACACACCCGCAGCAAGAGTGCCGCGGAAACGAAGATGGAGAGAGGAACCGGAGGAGGAGCAACATCGAGAACCCACTGCTCCCATACGGTAGCGGCCACTGCACGAAGTGTGCAGCCAGCCGAAGCAGAAGGCGCGCAGGCTTGTGTTACCAGCCAGCAGCGCGGAAACGGCGACG